ACCATCAGCTTTCTTCACCACATTTGCTTATGCACACGTCTGTCTTCAGCGATCATGTCGAGAAGGTTGGTATCATGAAATGACTGTTTAGCTGAGCAAGGTGCTCTTGTATTAAGGGAATTTTAGCACATTTTTAATGCAGTTTTTGTGGTAAAATTAGGTGCCCTCAGCTGATATTCGGGTCAGCTTATACTCGAGTATATACGGTACTTATTTTTATCTTACCACGATTAAAAGTTGTACCATCAAAGCCTTCATTTGCTGTACTTGAAGGAGATGTAATAGTTACTGAATCCTGATGTTGTCATGTTAAGCTATAGATCTGAGAAAATTTGAGAATTCTGAAGTGATCCTCTTTATCCGAGCAGTTATAAAGTAACATACTATTGCTTGTCTTTGACAGAATTCTGATATCCCTATACTCTTCAGTCTACAACGTGTTCTACTCATTCTTGGGCTGTTTTTCACTGGCCTCTTGCCTTTTGTGCCCATTCAAGAGCAGTTTTTTGAAATCCCAATGCCTTCCATCATACTGAAGTAAGTGGATTCCCTGTTTTTGATCAGTTATCTTTTATAGGAGAACAAAGCTAAAGGCTTATTAGTATCAGTAGCAGTGATAAAGAAATGGTTTCTATACTTATCCTTATTGTCTGTTGGGTGGCCTCTATTAGTAATGTTTTTGATACTACACATTTTCTAAAATGAATAGTAAGGAATTAAAAGTACTTAATATACACCCATGAATCTGCATGCTTATGTATTCCGAAGTAATGGAAAAATAATTTAGCTTAATTGCAGATACTTAGTAGTTCTTTATTAAGATATGAAAATAATAATTTATAATTTATCAAGGGGTCATGGGGGGTGAGGAGCTTATACTAAGGGCTCAAGAGAAAGTAAATGTCTAGAAAAGAATGATGGCAATGTAAGTACAAATATGCTTGATACAATTGATCTATGGATTATTAAGAGTTGTAAGAGTCCCCAATAAAATGATTTAAAAAAAAAGAATGATCTCATGTTCTGGACTACTTTCATATTTTTAAATAAATTATTTCCAAGAAAAAATGATATTTTAATTAAAAGATAATAATCCTTTATTTAGACATCAAGTAGCAATTTACGTCAACTTTTTTTTTTCTTTCTGATTCACTGGCAACTACATCTAGCTGAAATTCCATTAAACTCCAAATGTAAACGTAGAATTAATGAGGGATATTAATAACAATTGACATCACTAGAACAACAACAAATCTCAGCAGATAAGAGAAAGAAACGGGCAGAGATCATTTTTATAAAATGTGTCTAAATTTAAATATGTATATATATATATATCCAACAGACATACAGATTGGACTTAAAGACAGACCTGGGCACAGAACTTTTTTGTAATTCAAGGGGCTACCTGCATATTAAAAAAGAAGTAAGAAATGAAGATCTGGGGAGAATTGATATCAGTATGTGCTGACAAACTTAGAAGCAGATCCATCTGCATAGTCGTACCATTTTTACTTGAGGCCATAAAAGGAGAGGTTAAACAGATTTCCTCTGGGCACAAACTCCAGTGCTTGTGAGCACTAGGCATCCGAGATTGAAAGGAGCTCAGCGTCGACCAAAATGCTCACTGTGCACTTGCAGACAAGTAAAAAGGCCGTGGAAAAAGGGGAAGAACCATGTTTGCATGCGTTCCACTTTTAGCCCAAATTCCTTTTAAAGTATAGTAATGCTTGACTGTGAGTTTAAAACTAATATAACTAAATGAGAACAGTAGAAAGAGGTTTTATCAGAAAAGAAGATAGAAAAAAACATGAGGTCACATCACCAAGAATCTCTGCAGGGGTAATAACTCTGATAATGTTGACCCTTGAATAGTGGTAGAGAAAATAAGCTAAAGAGCCATGGAAACAAAGAACCCAACTGGGTCATATTTTAATTTATTTCTGCCCTTTCACAAATATTTTTTATTTTATTTTGCCTCAGATTAAGAGAACCACATACCATGTCAAGATGTCAGAAGTTTCTCATCTGGCTTTCTGATATGTAAGAATTTTAGTTTCTTGGTAGAAAATGTATTGCTTTGTTATATTTTTTACATACAAATACAAGAGTTTCAGAAAATTTGTAGGAAAATTCCATTATCTTTCCATTGTAATTTTCTATGAGATTTTGGAAGCCTCTGATAATTTAAGGAGCCTTGGTGGTGCCGTTGTTAAGCAGTTGGCTGTTAACTGAAAGGTTCCATGGTTTGAATCTGGAAGCCACTCCTTGGTAGAAAGGTATGGCCCTTGGCGTCTAAAGATTTCCAGCCTTGGAAACCCCGTGACGCAGTTCTACCCTGTCCTGTAGAGCCACTCTGAGTCAGAATGGGCCTGATGACAGTGGGCTGTCTTTGGGTTTTATACTCAAATTAGTACAAGTTTTCCACATGTACTTTTGACAAGGACCTGTTGAGGACATCCACTGCAAATGGAATTGTGTGCATCAAAATTAGTGTAATCACTAATCGCAAAAGCTTGAGAGTAATCTTAAGAGATGATCTCATCCAACTTCATGAGAAAACTGATTTGCTTGGGGTTATCTAGCTTATTTGCAGGAGATCTGAGCTAAGAATCCATTCTCTTCTCTTCCTTTGCTGTTTCAACCAGCCTAAGTCAAGAGCATGGGGTGGTGGGTGCTATGTATAGCAGTACAGTATATGTAAAAGCACATATTGTTTAAAGGCACATTTCTCAGAAGAATCTCTAACAGGATGGAGGACCCATCTGTAAGGATGGGTATTGATTTAAAGAAAAATTCTTTAATTTCTACGACATGTTGAAGTTATTTGTAGGTAAAAAGTTTTAATTATGCTGTATTTTGCTTTAAAATGTAATCTTCAATATTTAAATGTAATAATAGTCCTAATTCACAGTCCTTTATTACCTGTTTCCCTGAACGTAAGACATCCCCACAAAATAAGACCTACTTACAGTTTTGCCTCTCGCTGAAATATAAGGCAGCCCCGAAAATAAGACCTTCCCCAAAATAAGCCCCCCCCCAAGCTACTGTAACTGGACTCTGGACCGTAGTGGCGGGCGCCACCGCATAGCTCACTGTTGGCCGCAACTCAGCCGAAGCAGACAGGAAGTGTGAGGTCTCTTTTGGTAAAACAATAAACAATAAATGTGTACCGTATTCTTCATGGAAAAATAAGGCATCCTCTGAAAATAAGACCTAGCGCATCTTTGGGAGCACAAATTAATATAAGACACTGTCTTATTTTCAGGGAAACGGTACTTACTGCCTCTTCTTTCAAAAAGTTTCACTAGTTAAATCGTGTCTCTATACTGTAAGGTTTATTCTTTCTTGTGTCATTGCTAATTTAGTTCTGAATTATCAAGGACACAATTTGGAGTGGATGTTAAGTGCTTATACTTTTTAATTTTTAATAGGTTTGAACAGAATAGAAAGAATATGTACAAATTTCCAAAACAATTAGTTCTCATCTTTCTCAAATGATTTGTGATCTGAAAGTTCACTGTCTACAAATATTCTTGATGCAATTCATTTATGGATTGTTATAAGAGCTGTAGAGCCCCCAATAAAATTATTTTTAAAATAATAATAATTTAAATAAATAAAAGTTCACTGTTAGTTATTTGAAACTGAAAAAAATGCTCACTTTTTATATGTAGGAAACTATGAATGATGGACATTAAGTTTCCAAGATATCTCACAATATACTATATCTAATTTATTATGTAGCCTCACTGATGTTATAGAACGTAGCCAGAGTTTGGTGCCCATTTTAACTTGGGAAATTAGTAACACTCTCCATCTCTTTCTCATTCTCATTATGGATCCAGCAAAGAAAGTGCGGCCAATTCTCCATTAAGCTCCTACAAAAAGATTGGGAACCTTGATGATGTGGTGGCATCAAGGAGTAGAAAGACTATTCAGGTTGACCATCAGCAGCCAGTAGTGAAAAGAGGTCCTGTAGTTAGAGACATGAATATTATCCATGGCAGCCATTTCTGCACAAGGCCATTGCTTGTAGTGCTAATATTAAATTCAACCAGGAATTACTAAACTCTAAAAAAGGCAGTTAGCACTAATATATGTTTTACTTTTCTGTTCTAGATTACTAATGCGAAAAGCTCTGTTTGACCACCTTACTGCCCGAGGCATTCAGGTAACTTTCTAGAATGAGGGATGCTCTTTGGCAGCAGCATAGCACACCAGTGCAGCACAAGTGTGAAGGGCAGGAACTTTTGATTGACTTCACTTGGTCCCTGGCTCCACTTATGCTGCCTTGCTGACTCGCAAATTGAGCTCTGCCTCACAGTCAATAATAAGTACAAGTTTAAAAGGGTATTTCCAAAGAGTGCAGAGAGTATAATGGATAAATGCTATTATTAAAAAGAATTTTCTATCTTAATATCTATTCATACTTCTTGTGCTTCTAATTTTCAGGTGTATATTTGGGTATTAAATGAAGAGCAAGAATACAAAAGAGCTTTTGATTTGGGAGCAACTGGAGTGATGACAGACTATCCAACAAAACTTAAGGATTTTTTGCTTAATGTCTCAGCAGCGTAGTAGTCCAGAAAAGCATTAGAAGAAAACATGAGAAGACTTAAGAAAAAATCTTTCACCATCATTTTCCTGAGCCATTTCCAGAATCGGAAAAGGCTTAATCGGTTATATTTTATTACCTCATTTTTAAGGATTTCTGAGAACATAGAAACTATGTATCGTATATTTATTTTAAACAATGTTGCCTGCTTTACATTTGTAAATAGTTTCTTTAGACAATTAACTGGTTATGAGCTGTAAATAGATTATGAATCAAGATTTCAACACATGATGCAGTATTCTACTATTATAAATAATTCTGAAATCAAAGACTATTGGGTAAATTTGACATCCTTTATTGGAATAAGGTCACTACTTTGTAAAACAAAATATTGAAGGACATTACAACTATTCTGAACTGTTCCTTTTCTAAATACATCTTACTTAAAGAAACAGAAGCAAAACAAACCAAGTACAGGTTGAGTTGGGAAGCTGGTGGTGTAGTTCTCTGGTGTGTTATACATTATTAATAGAAGACAGCCTCAAAGAAATAACTGAAAATTAGAGTAGTTGGTCAGAAATACAATCTGTAAAGTGTAGACCAAGATTAGATTTCTTGGTTGTCAATGTTAATTAGGGGTATTCTTTGTGAAATCTTTTTCAGATGTGTAGCAATGCTACCATGTTTCAATATTTTTTGGTAACAGAAATGGGTTTAATCAAATGTAAATTAAGACAAAATCTAAATAGTCAAATTTTTATGTTCCTCAAAGGGAATGTAAGATTTCCAATATTGGCAATGACTTCACTGTTTTGGACCCACATCTAGATTTTAAATAACTGATCTTAGTAATCATATTGAACGGATAAAAGTGTGCATCACTACGTGACGGGTGTAAGCCAGCTGTTCCTGATCTTTACGTCTAAGTTTCTTCTTCCGAGTATTTGGTGGAAAGAGGGTTTTCCACGGCTCCAGACATCACTTTCTTAGTCTTTCAGATGTGACATGACAGAAATCTGTTTTTTTTAATCTTTTAAAATAATTTCTGTAATTTCAAATTGAGAGTTAAATATAATCTAGAATAATAAGTATCTTTCATCTAGATTATATCTCTCGCTTGGAGTTTGCCAACTAAACAGCTGTGAAGATGATCACACTTTCCCATCTGTCCCTCGATGACATAAATAACATTTTCTTATTTGTTTAAATGGAAATAAAGTTTTCCAAGAGCAAGATGAGGGTTCTTGATTGTGTTTTCACAGCTATAATTCCAAGTACACTTTATAGATGTTTAGGTGGTAAGCCAAAACTGAGAGGAGAGGCAGGAGAGGTTGCTTTTTTCTTAAGCTCTAGGCAGAATGGGAAACTCAGGTTAAGATCGGATGTCTTACGTTTAGAAGAGGACAGCGGTGATAAGGGGCGGGATAGTAATAGTGGGATAGCTGACATTCGTTATGTATGGGAGGAGTTAGAAATTAGGTGGATAAATTTAAGTATGAGAGAATTGGAGAAGGAAGTACTGGAAGTGGCCAACCACAGAGGGGCTAGGAAAAAGAGGAAATCAAATGCTCACATTCTTGTGTGTTTGTTAAAACAATCTGGCAGGCTAGTTGATGTTACACATCGCCAGTGTTTTTAGATGAATCTCAGATTCAGGGATTGACAGGATCACTAGTTGATACGGTGGCTCTTCTTAGCCATCCAACACACTGATTTGTCTAATTTGTCCTTAATTCACCATTCAATGATAAGAGAAACATTAAAAACCAATTTCAAGAGAAGGTTACAGTGTGATCTTTTTTCATAGGAGAAAATACTCAAATGTCCAATGTGTTTAGTTTCTCCGACCTTGTTTAAACTGTTATTAACCCTTGTAGAGATGGGAATCAACCAGTGATATTTCTATCAGCAACTGAAACTATTGTTTATGTAAAACTGTGCCACTACATTTATTTAGAAAGTAAATGTTTAAACACGTTGTGTTTGGAATAAACCCATGCATGTATGAACTGGAACCTGAACAGCAATACTTTTTTACCTACCTACCTACCTGAGTTTTTCCTAATGAAAAAAAAAGGTAACCTCTTCCTCTACCTACTTTTAAATGTTTCAGAATTGAAGAGTCAATTGGAGACCACTTAGAAAAATCAGAGTGGGTAGGAAAGGTAAGAAGATCCTACCATGGCAGTTTCTAGTAAGGTCACATGGTAAATTTTTCTGAACTTGAGTTTCATCTTAAAAAATGGGCCTGGGCACCTTCCGGATATGATCGTTGAAGACAAATGTGGTGAAGAAAACTGATGGTGCCCTGCTATCAAAAGATACAGCGTTGGGGTCTTAAAGGCTTGAAGGTAAACAAGCGGCCATCTAGCTGAGGAACAACAAAGCCCACATGGAAGAAGCACACCAGCCTGTGTGACCATGAGGTGTTGAAGGGATCAGGTATCAGGCATCAAAAAACAAAAAAAATCATATCATTGTGAATGAGGGGGAGTGCAAATTGGGGACCCAAAGCCCATATGTGGGTAACTGGACATCCCCTTACAGAAGGGTCACGGGGAGGAGACGGACCAGTCGGTGCAGTGTAGCAATGATGAAACATACAACTTTCCTCAAGTTCTTAAATGCTTCCTTCCTCTTCCCCCTGCTCCCCTACTATTATGATCCCAATTCTACCTTACAAATCAGTCTAGACCAGAAGATGTACACTGGTATGGAAAGGAACCAGAAACAGGGAATCTGGGACAGATGATCCCTTCAGGACCAGTGGTGAGAGTGGTGATACCGGAGGGTGGAGGGGAGATGGACTAGAAAGGGGCAACTGATTGCAAAGATCTACATATAACCTCCTCCCTGGGGGGCGGACACAGAAAATGGATGAAGGGAGACATTGGACAGTGTAAGACAAGACAAAATAATAATTTATAAATTATCAAGGGTTAATGAGGAAAGGAGCAGTGGGGAGGGAGGGGGGAAAATGAGCTGATCCCAAGCCTTCAAGTAGAAAGCAAATGTTTTGAGAATGATGAGGACAACAAATGTACAAATGTGCTTGACATACAATGGATGTATATATGGATTGTGAGGAGTTGTATGAGCCTCCAATACAATGATTTTTAAAAATGGGCATGGGATATGATCAACTAACTTAACATGCTGTAATGAACACTTGAGAATGTAGGTAAAAGTGAAATCAAGTCCAAATACTTACATAAATGTTGGGTGTGAGCCCTCTGCTGCATTTATTGTAACAATGAAGGCCATTCTCAACAACCAGATAGTCTCTGGAATGCGGACATTTCCCTTCACAGTTACTGTGAAGGTCACCAGAAGAACCCTGCAGAGGGCCTTCAATCACATCAACGTAGAACTCGGTCTCCTTGGAAAGAAAAGGAAGACGCTTCGAGTTGGCAAATGGTGGGGAAATAGGAACTGGCTACAGCCCACACTGACTGTAGTCATGTACAGAACAGGATCAGGGGCCTTACACTGGGTTCTGATAACAAGAGGAGCTCTGTGTGTGCCCACTGTCCTATCAGGAGAATGGGTCTGTAATTTCTTGTGTGAAAAATACATCTGGAGGGGTTGCATGAGGACAGGTGTTACTTATTCCATTTCTTAAGCCCAGAAAGATGAATGGGTTCTTGAAGGAAATGACATTGAGCTTGTATAAAGTTCAGCTGCTGTAATTCAGCAAGCCCTGACAGTTAAAAACAAGGATATCTGAAAAATTTGGGTGGTATCTTTCTGAGAAAGGAACAGTTCAGCAGCCTGATGAGTTAGATCTAAAGGTGTCCAGCTCTAGTCTAGATGATTCCTTTAGACTTGTCTGTGGTGCTTTGATGCAATAAAGTTTATCTAATGAAAATTTTGTTATATACCAGGGAACTTGAAAACGTTTGTGGAAAAGTGGATTAAAATGGAAATTTTTTCTTAATTCTACATTTTCTCTATCCCTGCACTTAAAAATGCGAACCAAACCATTGCCATTATGCTCAACCCTAATTCATGGTAAGACTAAAACTGGATTTTCTTGGCTGTAATTGTAATGGGAGGACCAACCTATATGTTAGCCATGTGCAAGACACTTGTCCCACTTACCTGCTTAAATACAGAGTGTAATCAAAAGAAATCAAATTCATTCTCACATGATTGCCTTCCTTTGTCTTCCAAGTAAGGCTTCACAAAGTATCCAAAACTGAGAGGAAATGTTTTGAGAATGATGAGGGCAATGAATGTACAAATGTGCTTTACATAATTGATGTATGTATGGATTGTGAAAGGAGTTGTATGAGCCCCTAATAAAAAGATTTCCCTACACAACTGCTGAAGACAAAGCAGGTGAATAAGCAAATGTGGTGAAGAAAGCTGATGGTGCCCGGCTAGCAAAAGATATAGCGTCTGGGGTCTTAAAAGCTTGAAGGTAAACAAGCGGCCATCTAGCTCAGAAGCAACAAGGCCCACATGGAACAACATATCAGCCTGTGTGATCACGAGGTGTCGAACGGATCACTGAAGACAAATGGGTGCATAAGCAAATGTGGCGAAGAAAGCTGATGGTGCCTGGCTATCTAAAAGTATAGCGTCTGGGGTCTTAAAGGCTTGAAGGTAATCAAGCGACCATCAAGCTCAGAAGCAACAATGTCCACATAGAAGAAACACACCAGCCTATGCAATCACATGTTGAAGGGATCAGGTGTAAGGCATCATCAGAACAAAAAATCTTACCATAGTGAATGATGAGGGGAGTGCGGAGTGGAGACCCAAAGCCCATTAGTAGGCCACTGGAGATCCCCTTACAGAGGGTCTCTGGGAGGAGACGAGCCAGTCAGGGTGCAATGTAGCAACGGTGAAAAATACAACTTTCCTGTAGTTCCTAAATGTTTCCTCCCCACTCCCACTATCATGACACGAATTCTACCTTGCAAGTCTGGCTAGACCAGAGGATGTACACTGGTACAGATAGGAACTGGAAATACAGGGAATCCAGGGCGGATGATCCCTATAGGACCAGTGGTGTGAGTGGTGATACAGGGAGGGTAGAGGGAGAGTGGGTTGGAAAGAGGGAACCGATTACAAGGATCTACATGTGACCTCCTCCCTGGGGGACGGACAACCGAAAAGTAGGTGAAGGAAGACGTCGGACAGGGCAAGATCTGAAAAAATAACAATTTATAAATTATCAAGGGCTCATGAGGGAGGGGGGAATGGGGAGGGAGGGGAAAAATTAGAACCTGATGACGAGGGCATAAGTGGAGAGCAGATGTTTTGAGAATGATGAGGGCAATGAATGTACAAATGCGCTTTACATAATTGATGTGTGTGTGGATTGTGATAAGAGTTGTATGAGCCCGTAATAAAATGATAAAAAAAAAAGATTTAAAAAAGCCCAAAGTATCTAAAAGTTTAATATACTGTATATCAATGCTAGGCGTTTCCCATTACACAGAATGTTTGATTTTTGGTTTCTGTCTTTTCACTTCTTCATTTTAATCATATTGGAAAGACGAGTTAAAAGAGGAAAAAAAAGGAGTTTCATCTTTTCTGTCTTCTGAGATCTTTGAGATTGTATATTAAAGTTTGCCAATGACAAAGCTATTGTTTCTCTGAAATTAAGTAAGACATTCCGGAACTATATAGCCCTTTACACATTCTTTCCCAGCCTCCTCTTAGTAGCTGATCCATTTCCTTTTTTCTTGGGAATATGTCTACAGTCATCATTTTAAAGTCATGTGATTTTGTAATAAGAAACCATTTGGGAAGTTTTGCAAAATGTAGCAGGATATACTTGATCCTATTGATCTCTAATGGCAGCACAGAATTTAGTCTTTCAAAAGCTGTAATGCTGTTTTGAGAAGGATGAGGGCAACAAATGTATAAATGTGCTTGACACATGGATGGAGGTATGGATTGTGATAAGAGTTGTACAAGCCCCCAATAAATTGATTGAAAAATAAAAAAGCTGAAATGCTATCATCTCAGAAGAAACAAACCTCGTGCCCCAGATAGGAAATACTGGGAACCATAGTAACATTTCTCTCCGGGGGTGGGGGTGGGTGTCCTTTTCTAAGTAAGCTGGTTTATAAAATAACTTCTCTCAAGTCATTTGATCTAAAAGCTATGAGATGGGCTTAGAAGGCCTTAACAATTTGGGAAGAGAAATGTTTACTTCACCTGAACAAAGACATTGGAAAAGGGGAATATTTGGACGTTTAGCATTTTTAGAATGCTACAGTGTGAAGAGACTTCATTGGTCATGCGTTCCAGCCTTATCCAGGTAAACTGTCGCCTGATAAAGGGCATTGCCTCTCTGCTTGCAGTGATGGGGAGCTCACTACCAGGTACAGCAATGCTTTCCAGCTCCTGGACAGCCCCGAGTCTGCTGCTTGTGTGCCCTGTCCTTTGTACATATCTAACCTACTGGCAAAGTCTGATAAAATAGTAAGGTTACCCTGACCATAAAACTCACTGCCATCAAGTCAATTCTGACTCATAGTAACCTCATCGGGCAGGATTGAACTGCCCCTGCAGGTTTCCGAGACAGCAACTCTGTGGGCGAATGCTTGTACTACATGAATGAAGGTGCTTTTACTGTATGTTTTATGTCGCTTTTCCATTAGTATCTTCTAATCTTCAACATCTGAGGACATCTCAAAATTCAGGGTAAATGTGAGTCCTAAGTTTATAGCCAGAGGTAGAGAAAAATGGATGTCCCGTTCTTCATCTGGTTTGAAGTATCAGCAAATGATTCCATTTTTACCCAGAATGACATCACAACAATTCAGACTGCCCCTCTCTAGTGAAAACACAAAAGGGGGCTACACCAGTGGGTTGTTAAGAATTTTCATAATACAGCCTTACTGAACTGATTTAAATGTGAAAACTTTCTCATGCACCAGAGATCTGAATTCTATCTGAACTGGGTCTCTGGCAAAATAACTGTAACGTCTCGCACACTCTGTGGAAGAGTCTAGTTCAATGACATTACTGTCTTGTGTTGTTGACGAAGCTCATG